GTTTCTTAATGAAACATGGCTAGAAGAAACAGCCCCTCCTTAAACTTTACTTTAATAAGTGTTTGCAGGACTGTTAGGAGAGGTGGAGGTGTAGCTGCTCTATTTAAAGATGTCTATCAATGCAAGCAAGTGTCATTTGGTCAGTACTTGTCTTTTGAATGTCTAGGGATTGTGCTGAAAGGTGCTCCACGTATTCTGTTTATCATTATTCACAGGCCTCCAAAATACTCTCCAGCCTTTGTTGAAGGGATCACAGAACTGTTATCAATGATTTCCTCAGAGTTTGACTGTTTTGCTATTGAAGGGGATTTTAATATTCACGTAGATAATGCAGAAATCAAAACTACAAAAGAAATTATAGCTGTTTTAAACACTTTTGACCTGATCCAGCATGTGCATGAACCCACACACAATCGTGGACATACTCTAGACTAAATCATCAGTAGAGGTCTAAACATTTCATCCATTGTTATTAAGGCTGTAGCACTATCTGATCACTTCTGTATTTTCTTTGACATACTGATCTCTGCTACCACTGAATCTAGATCTGTCCCTGTCAGAAAGAGATGCATTAACGAGAACACTAGTGTGCTATTTATGAAGGCTAGATCTTTAAAACCAAGCATTTCTGCAGACTCTGTGGATCTTCTCCTTGATTCCTTTAGCTCAACAGTTAAGAATGTTATTGATGATATTGCTCTTGTGAAAGTCAGCAAGAAGACTGGCAGACAAAAAGCACCCTGGAGAAAATCAACAGCAGTACTGAGTATGAAAAGACAATGCAGAAAAGCTGAGTGGATGTGGCGGAAGAAGAAACTTGAAATTCACTATAGCATACAGGTGCATCTAAGAGACCAAAAAATGCAGATGAGCTGAAGGCCACTGTCAAAGAAACCTGGGCTTCCATACCACCTCAGTAGTGCCACAAACTGATCACCTCCATGCCACGCTGAATTGAGGCAGTAATTAAAGCAAATGGAGCCCCTACCAAGTATTGAGTACATGTACAGTAAATTAACATACTTTCCAGAAGGCCAACAATTCATTAAAAATGTTTTTTTTTATTGGTCTTATGGAGTATTCTAATTTGTTGAGATAGTGAGTTGGTGGGTTTTTGTTAAATGTGAGCCAAAATCATCACAATTAAAAGAACCAAAGACTTAAACTACTTCAGTCTGTGTGCATTGAATTTATTTAATACACGAGTTTCACAATTTGAGTTGAATTACTGAAATAAATGAACTTTTCCACGACATTCTAATTTATTGAGATGCACCTGTATATAAAGACAGCCTTTGTGCTTTCAAAGTGGAACAAGCCACAGCTAGACAGACCTTCTTCTCAAACCTTATAAATACTAACTTAAACAACACTCGCACTCTTTTTGCTACTGTTGAGAGACTGACAACTTTTCCAAAACTCCCTGAAAACTGCAGTTGTTAAACCCCTTCTGAAAAAGAGCAATCTTGATAACACCATATTGAGCAACTAAGGATCAAGAAACAGTCCTCCATAAAATGCGCTGCAAACATCTGAATATTTGGGTTTAACTGTTCTGGAACAGTGTTGTAAATACAACTTAACCACTGATTTCTAGTTGTGTCCTCTTTTGGAAGGCCAAACAAAGTAGTTTTGCTATTACAATGAAACACACAGCATCTCCATAACATGGCAGCGGCGGCAGCAACAATAGTACAGCGAGAATAAAAGTTACACCTTCTTTCTTTGCGTGAACATTTGGGCAGCGTTATGCAAATCTTCCCACATCGTGACGTAGACATGTGGGGGCGTGTTAGAACGAGCCGTTTTAGGTAGGCATGGTTAACTCTTAACTTTTATAAAGAATATCTCTTTGGATTTGAGACTTTAGTCTTTGCAACTTTACAGATCTTCTTTATGCATCAAGAGCTTGTAACACTCCAAAGAGAAAGGGAAACTTGAAATCGCATCATATGACCCCTTTAAACTACAGGGAGCCCTTTTACATTACTAGGTTACAATTAAAAAAAGTGCCCAAACTTGAATTTAATTACTATTTATTTTTTCAATATAATAATAATCAACACTCAACATTGCAAACATGTAAATTGCACATAATACAGTATTTTAATTTTTTATAACATTTCTATTGTTGAAATATATTTAATTACACAGTGGCTGTCATAAGCTGTTTACTAATAGATTAATTTAAATTTAAATAATTGACATCACTAACAGGAAAAGTCAATTATAATGAGTATATAGTCTAATATTTCGCGAAATGCTGTTCTCTAGACTTATTTTCTCTAGCGAACTAACGAGCTGTGGACGCTGATGATTTATCTGAGGTAAATTAAATAATATGTGACATTTTGTTTAGAAGCTGTTTTATTGACGTCTTTCCACGGTTGAACACTGATTGAGCGATTACATCAAGCATGAGATGTTCATTCATGTATATTTCGTGTTAAAACTAGTAGTAAAGAGGAAGGAATGATCGCCTTCACTCGCACTCTACTCTGCTGTTTGAACGGACCCCATTTACACTGCACAAGTCTGTGGGGCATTACGGCTTGGATGCGGCCAATCTAATCAATGCTTGTGTTTATACCAGCCACACCGCAGCATGTTTCTGAAGAGACCCAGATGCGTCTCTCCGAGGCGTTATACAGCGATCTGTCATGCCACATCAAAGACTGTCAAAACATTTATTATTTAAATTTCCTTGAAAAAAATGCTGTATTTGCTCGATACACATGCGTACCGAACCGAAGGACCTGTACCGAGAATGTTTGGTACGAATACGTGTACCATTACACCCCTAGTTTGTCATCAAGCATGAGATGTTCATTCATGTATATTTCGTGTTAAAACTAGTAGTAAAGAGGAAGGAATGATCGCCTTCACTCGCACTCTACTCTGCTGTTTGAACGGACCCCATTTACACTGCACAAGTCTGTGGGGCATTACGGCTTGGATGCGGCCAATCTAATCAATGCTTGTGTTTATCCCAGCCACACCGCAGCATGTTTCTGAAGAGACCCAGATGCGTCTCTCCGAGGCGTTATACAGCGATCTGTCATGCCACATGATCAAAACATCAAAACATTTATTATTTAAATTTCCTTGAAAAAAATGCTGTATTTGCTCGATACACATGCGTACCGAACCGAAGGACCTGTACCGAGAATGTTTGGTACGAATACGTGTACCATTACACCCCTAGTTTGTATACAGCACACAAGGTTTATGCACATGCTCCAAGCCTTCTTCTCTGTTTTTAGTGTATCTCTGTGGCAGAATTACAGCACCACATACTGGTCTGGCATGTATACTACATTGTTTTGAGTCGGTTTCAGTGATTTCATGTATATGCAGATACTTATGGAAGAACAAGGGGAAAAAAGATTGGATAGAGAAAGCTCTGGCTTCATGTGGATGTGGCCCTAGTCTCTGTGCAGTGAGTGCACTTTGACCTCACATTAGTTTGAGCACACATTGAGGGCTCTGAGAGGTTACACTTTTAGTTCACTGTGACCTCACATTGTGACCTCATCACAAGTATCATGGCAACTCATGATGAGACCACTGTGAGATCAAATTGTTGACTGGCAACTTCTAAATGGTTTGGACCAAAATCACAAGACTGGCCTCTGTAGATTCGGTGCAGTGGTTTCAAATTTTGTTGTAGGTGTATGGGATGGCCTGGATGAGTGTAAGATTTCCCAGGCTGAAATTTTGTCCCAATCTGCCCCTGGCAAGGGTCCTACCATGATCAAAGTCCAGAAACGTAGCATGGACATTGGTAAAATAATCCATGTGACATCAGTTCAACTGTAACTTTATGAAGCTACGAGAATAATTTTTGTGTGCAAAGAAAACAAACATAACAACTTTATTCAACAATTCTTCTCCTCCTCATCCAGTCTGCTGTGGCATGCATTAAAACAACATCGTAATTTGTGTTCCGAAGATGAACAAAGGTCCTACAGGTTTGGAACAACATGAGGGTGAGTAATTAATGACAGAATTTTCATTTTTTGGGTGAACTATCCCTTTAAGCATGGCCTTATTCATTAATTAATTAATTAATTAATTAATTCATTCATTCATTCATTAATTTTTTTAGCAGTGCAGTTAATTTACTAATGAGACTATTGACAATTAAAGTCATTTTTCTCACCTGAGTTTCGAGTTTGTCTTTTCTCCTTTTCACCCTGCTTCTCCTTAAAAGCAACAAATGTGTTAAATAAAAGAGTATAGAATCACTATGTTGTATTAGAACAATATTGGACTCAAATGCATTTCTATGATGGGATCATATTTATTTTTGTCAACCTTGTGGAGCATTATTCACATTTTATTTCTAAAATGAAAAATCTTTCAACAAGTTCAATATTTGTAGAAAGCTAAACTAACAACTACACTTTTCTTTTACTGAAGGCTATACATGAGGTTAAGTGCCTGCAATCAAATACTACACGTCTTACCAAATCAGCAACATCGCAATGATAACTGCAGCTCCACAAATCACTCCACTGGATATGTACAATATCAGCAGACGTCCTACAACAGAAACAAAAGAATAAAACATGTGAACAGATTCATTTCCTTCACTTTAGCAAGAGTAAATGAGCTGCTCTACCTTTAACAGTGACAGTAACAGCATCTGATCTCTGAGATCCGTGTTGATTGTGAGCCTCACAGTAGAAGTGTCCACTCTGTAGTGCACTGACTGTCCAGATTCAGCCCCCCTGTTTTGGTGGGCTGAAATGCCATTCGTGCAGCTATATGAACATTAATAAATCAGGCTTCAATATTCATAGAAAACTGAGATTCCGCATAGCGTGGTAAACACAGTGCTCGTTCCAATTATCTTTTGGAACCAAGGTTGTGTTTAGTAACCAGATTGTTTACCCCAGCAATGATCTGAGCTTCAGACTTCCTTATTCAATACCTGAGTGAGTAGCTATTAGTGTGGAAAGAGACCATCATGAAGTCTCACTGAATTCACAACCTTCTCACTCATTTACAGACATTGCATAGTACCACACACACATATCGTACACAATCAGCATCGTGATGATGAAAATTGCAGCTCCACAAGCTCCACAAGCTCCACAAACCATAGATATGTGTAATATCACCAGACGTCCTACAACAGAGACAAGAGTGTAAAACACCAGAACAGATTCACTTGCTTCACTTTAGAAAGAGTAAATAAGCTGCTCTACCTTTAACAGTGACAGTAACAGCATCTGATCTCTGAGATCCGTGTTGATTGTGAGCCTCACAGTAGAAGTGTCCACTCTGTAGTGCACTGAAACTCTGTCCAGATCCAACAGCTGAACTTTGATTCTCCTTAAACCAGCTGATTTCTGCAGGTGGGTTTGAATCACTGCTGCAGATCAGAGTCACTGAATTTCCTTCTACTTCACCAGATCCATTTATTGACACTGAGACGTTCCTGGGAGGATCTAAAACAGGACGAAACATTCATATAGCGGTCATATTTAAAAAAAAAAAAAATTTAATGTCACAGTTACTGAACCATCATTAACTCACACATGACATTTAAAGTCATAGTGTCAGAGTACGTCTCTCCATGTTTATTTCTGGACTTGCACTTGTATTCTCCACTGTGATCAGAGCTGATCTTTGAGATGCTGTAGATTCTTCCAGATCCTACAAACCTTCCTCCTTTAAACCAGCTGATTTCTGCAGTCACAGCATCAGAGTCTTTCGCTCCATGTTTATTGATGGATCTGCACTTGTATTCTCCACTGTGATCAGAGCTGATTTTTGAGATGCTGTAGATTCTTCCAGGTCCTACAAACGTTTCTCCTTTAAACCAGCTGATTTCTGCAGGTGGGTTTGAATCACTGCTGCAGCTCAGAGTCACTGAATCTCCCTCCACTATTTCACCAGATGGACTGATGGACACTGAGACACTCTTAGGTGGGTCTAATAAAAATAAAAATAAAATAAAAAAGAGGAAGAAAAAAGGTGTATTGACGAGACCTTTGAGGTTTTGGTCAGTATTGTGATCTGAGTCAGAGTGCAGCTGCTTTTACATGTCAGACTGACATTATGACCCTCTGTCACTCTCTCAGGAGCCTCCACCTGAAGATCTGAACACAACACACACATTATATCTAGTGCTGCTGTCATACACTGATTATTATTCAACATAATGCACAGAAGAAGAGTGAAACCTCATCAAAGTAACCTGTTACAGTAAGACTCACTCCTGGATTACCGGTCCATTTTCCATCTGTTACATTAGTAGTGAATCTGAAATAGTACATGTGTTCATCCTTCTGTGTCACATGACTCAGTCTGATGGTGCAGTTCTTCTGTTTATCTCCCAGATACTGAAGCCTCTGACTGTATTCAGGGTTCTTAGACAGATCTCTAAGCTTTTCACCCTGTACAGGGTTTTTGGTCCAGAACACTTTCATGATCTGATATCCAGTAGGGTATGTATAAGTGCAGCTCATTATCACTGATGAGTCCTTTAGTGCACAGATGTGTGAATGTCTGTAATTCACACCCCAATTAGCACTAGAAACCCCTGAAACATAGAATTCATATAAATATTAGCAGCTTGTGCATCATGAAAGTTGGTGGGGAAATGCATGCAAAATCTTCAGTTTCTGAAGTGTTGCAGCGACTCACCGTGAATCAAGATCAGAAAGATCAGAGCAAGAGGAGGAGCCATTCTGACTGACATCAGCAACACCTACAACAAAAAAAAAACTAAAACAACAGTGGCATATTTCAGTTTTATTCATGTTTTTGTTTTGTTTTTTCTTTGAAGATCATTGTGAAGTTGTCTTTATTTGTAATTTTTATAGGACAATATAATTATCACTGTCAGTCTAGGTGCTGCTGTTTGGTGAGGCTTAGTCATGTTAAGCATGCATGAGCTATCTCACCTTCCTCTTCCTGTCCAGTGCAAATCAGTAGACAAATGCAGGCATTTTATTCTCTCTGTCTTTATTTTACAATATTGAGAGAGGTAGTAAAATAAAGACTGAGAGAGAATAAAATGCCTGCATTTGTCTATTGATTTGCACTGGACAGGAAGAGGAAGGTGAGATAGGTCATGCATGCTTAACATAGCTTAACCACAGAGTGTTTCTAAACCAGTCACACTGAGTCTGACTAAACCTCAACAAACATCAGCATCTAGACTGACAGTGATAATTATATTGTCCTATAAAAATTCTGCTAAAACAAAGACAGTTTTAAAGACAAAGAGAATTTTAACTGCAGCTGTATTTACTCACTGAGCTGCCGGAGGATATACATACTGTATATATGAGGGGCCGTACAAGCCATAATTCATTCTGGCACTCTCACACACTTACATTCTCCTTTCACATACATATATTTTTGCTTTCACACACTTACATTCTCCTTACACATGCATACATTTCTACTCATAAGAGAAGAATGTATGTATGTGTGAGCAGTGTTGGGAGTAACGCATTACTAATAAAATTTGGTTATTTTAATTAACAGTTCAGAGGGGGTGCTAAAAAACTATTTAAATTGAGTGAAAATAATGAACGCCTATAAGCTTCAGAATACAAATTCAGCCACCTTTAGATTTTTTTTTCTGTGGTATAAACTTCTCATATGCCACTGTTATTAGTGATATGCCAACTGCCAAATATGACACTTACAAATTAATACAATTTATGAACGCACATAGAAAAGAGAGAAAGTAGGGATTTTTTAAATTTTTAAATTTTTTTTTTATATTTTTTTTACACATCTATTTAGTCATTTTTTTCTGACCATCAGGTGTCAGTCACTCTCAATGCCAACTGGCAGGAAAACATGGTAAATTCTAACCATTTTTTACAATAGATAAAGTGCCGACAATTCATACAACTATTTCCACACAGTGGCATAGCAGACGGGCACGCAGGCCTGTTACATTTTTCTTATTATTAGGCCTATTATTATTATTAGGTTACTTTTATTATTAAATGACATGAAATTATTGCGCCACAATAATTTCATAGTGCATTACCGTATGGCGCGCTGTGAGGATAATTAAAATTTAGGCTATTAGCTTAGGCTACTCCTCATTGAAAATGTTTTTTTTAAAGTTTTTTTTAAACAGGTCCATTAATTTATACAATTGAATTATAGGTCTATTATTAAAATTATTAACACTGCAGTCATAAATGAAAATTAAGAGCAGCTTTATTTCGTGCACAGATTTTCAAAAACAACCTGTTTAATGCAAAATACATTTCTTCGCATGTTTTTCACTATATGGGCCACAAGATAAATATTAAGGGCATAATTTAAGACAGTTATATACCATCATCAGCCTATATTGAAGTAATTTTGTCGCTTGTTGTCTCAGAGAATATGCGCCGTTAATGCAGC